ATATATATATATATATATATATATATATATATATATATATATATATATATATATATATATATATATATATATATATATATATATATATATATATATATATATTCAACAGATCCTCACCCATCCATTGATGATAATTCAATCTCTGCAAAACAATTTCTCTTAACTAAACGTGGAAAACTAGTTATCTTTTTATCTTTCAAAAAATGAGGAGGAAGTCGAGTTTTATTTGTTACGAAAGATGACCAAATTTTTTAATTTTTTGCAGCAGATGTTAAGCTAACAGTGAGGGAGTGGGGGACGTCACAAAGAAATTTCGATGTTTTCGCGCGTCTGCAGCACGGACCATGCTTTGGGCCAGCTAACCTCCATGATCACTCTGATAAAGCTTTAATACCTCATATAGCGATTAAACTAATCTCTTTTTGAAGAGACAAAAAGGTGCGGGGAAGCGAAGTGATGAAAGAAATCGAAGGAAGAGAGGACAGGAGAAATTTTCATTACTCAGTAAACTTTCTGGAAACTTCTTTACTGGAAATATATCCTAAAAAACAATCTTTTTCAATCTTTTTCAAGATTGTTTTTCCATAGCTTACACTCTTCTGAGGAGTAGGAGTTAACCTTGCTATTGCTAAAATTTGGTGCTGTGACGTTGCCGAGTGAGTTGTCGCGAATTTCGAATATTGCGAAGCTCTAAATAAAATAAAATAATAAAATAAACTAATGCACAAATCAATCGCACAAATTGTAAATAAACGTTAACAGTGTTATGAATCACTTAACTAATTTCACATTCCTCATATTGTATATATACTCAAGATTATTACTAGAAGGACTTTATATTTAAACACTCAACCAAGGATTGTACCGAACACTTTATCCTCAATTCTCCTCAATAAATATTTTTACTACTAATTCTGCGTTCTTACAACCTACTATCTTCTGCGAATTAATAACTTTCTCTTGAACCGAACGAAGAATCCTTCTCAGAATAACCGTCTGTGCCTAAGAACCAAAACCCTTCCAAATCAAACCCGGCAAAACGAAAAGTTTTATTTTTGTTTTCCCATATGAGTTACTTCGTATGCTACCGTTCCAAAGTTCGAAGTTCACACGTCCAACCTACGTCCGTGTTGTTTTCTGTTTGTCCACCTATGCTTTAAAATCATTATAGAATAGAATATTTTGTCTTTTGTTCGTAACAGCTCGAATTCCCCACCTTCATAAATCACGCCTGCAAGCGTATCATATTTATACGTATAATCACAATCTCACGGATAAACCGCGCGTCATCTAATCTACACCTAACGCTTAGACATTTAAATTTACATCACACCACATCCTCAAGTATATTACACTTACACGTGGAAACTGTATAAGCGCATACAAAGACGTACACACGGTTGTCCTTGGCCTACAGGAAACAGTCGTGTGACAACGGAAATCAATGGACTGCAGCATGTATGCATGTGTGTATGTGTAAGTATATATGTGTGTACATGTTTGTACATATGCGTATGTGTGTGTGTATGTGTTTGTATGTGTATGTATATGTGTGTCCGTGTGTGTACTTTGTGTGTATACTATCTGTGCTGCATCCGGTCATGCGTTGCCACAATATATATATATATATATATATATATATATATATAATTTGTTTGTATTTATATATTTAATAAAAGAAAATAAAAAGAGACAAATACTGTAACATATATTTAATTATAAAATCTATTTAATATTATAATATATTATATATTTATGTATAATAATATATATTTCTATATATAATGGGGACGAATTTGATAGACCAGATGACTAATTGCAGATTCCGAACAGTGCGCAAAGTTGAGAAGATCAGTAAGTTAGTACGGACGCAAATATTTGCATAACTTTTCCGTGTTCACTATCTGCATTTTCGCTTCTCATAACAATATATGGATGGGGTAGCAAATGCCAGGCAAGTAACAGTATCTCCTGCATAACATATATACAAGGCAAATATGATATTTATCCAGGAAATGTAAGATATTAGAAAAAATGCGAAGAGGAAATATGAGGCGGAAAGAGTATATCATAAATATAAAAGTAGAGCATATATATTAGTATGATATATATATTTACATGAAATAATGCCAGGATTTACTCTAGGTTGCACAGTATTCAAGAAATTTTTAAAAATCAAAGAGGCCTAAGCGATGTAAAAGATTTCGAAGTTGCGAAACTCCTAAATTCTTGAATATTAAGGGATAAGTGTTACACAAAACCACGTAGATATGTGATTTGCAGTACTTGCTAGCAAAAAATCACAGTTGTTTTGGAATAAAACTTATTGTTAATTGTCATCCCCCTGATAATGCTTTAATAATCTAATTCACATCCTTCAAGTAACTTGAATAGCTCTGCAAGTATTTTGTGTCCGCAATATGAAAAGTTCTTGATGTTCCTTACGTGAGGATTTTGCATTAGCATGCAATACAGTTCAACACTGACAATGTTCTTCCTTTCTATAGGCATACTACTTTTCAGACAATATTTTGAGATGAATTATGTAAGTAAATAACATAATAACATAACCTATTATTTAATATAATCCATGTTAATTAATAAACGAACATACCCTCTTGAGCCCTCGTGCACCCTCCATGTTCCATTTAGTGCCTGTACGAAACAATATGAAAGTCTCAAAATTTATCATAGTCAAGAAAAAGTAATAATGCATAAGCTTCGATGGTCACAACTTTGGTTTGAATTGTACAAAAAAATTGTAAAACTGCACAAGGAAAACTCTTTTTGCAGTATCATATGCATACATCAAGAGACATAATAGCTACAAATATACAGACAGACAAGGAAGGGAAGGTGCCAGAATCATTCACATCTCATTCATTTCGAATACAAAAAGAGAAAGCATAAAGCATATTCTTTGTTTTGCATGAGACCCAAATGGCTCTGATCATGAACCAAACATTATAGTTGAGAGAGCTTTTTGAATTCTAATCTTCCTCGAATTTATCCTAATCCTTGGAAAGAACTGGGAAAGAAATGGGAATTCAAAAAACAGTGCTCAAAATTTGATTCATGTTCTTAACTAATTGACCACATAATATAAAGCAATACAAGGGAATTGTAATAACTTGAATTGACTATAAATATCATTCTAACCGTTAATAACGTGGTTGTATTTGTGGCCACTGCTGCTGTATCATATAAGGACCCTGCTGTGGCATCATTTCCTGACCTGGTTGCATTATTATTCCACCTAAAACGCGTCTTTGGAAATTTATGGCAGTAAATTTTCTCCAAAGATATTAAGTCATTGTGTGGTTTTAAAGATCTACTGAATTCAACATGAATCCGGCCCAGTCTCATATGTCGTATTAAAGCAATTTTTTACCAGGAGAGTTATAAGAGTATAGAGATTTTCTTTTCGAAAATTTTAGATCTGGCTAACTGGGCTTCATAAACTAAATCAGAATCTCACTAATAAACTTTATGCCATAATGAATTAATTCAAAACATGATTTCAAAAAAGAAAAATTAATGGATCACGCCAAAAAGGAACTTACTGACCGCCTTGTATTACTCGCCCGTTTTGGTCCACATATGACATTTGCGGACGAATCTGTTGCATGATTGTGGGTCCTTGAGGGCCCATTTGTCCCTGAGGTGGGCCCATTTGATTTTGAGGACCACCTATAGGTCCCGGTCCTGTTATACTGCCCTGCTGTCCCAACATACCATTTCCACTACCCATTATTTGCTGGCCACTTAGCATACCTTCAATGACAAGGACCAAACATATTAATTCCGATATGTGATACATCTCCCTCTTGCTTTAAAAATTTTTTAAATCGTTTTCAGATCCATGTAATATCAGAAACAATTTAGTAAAGTATAGTAGGGCCGAAGGAATACATTCAACAAAACAATGAAGAGCATAATATTTCGACTTATAAGGAAATCTCAGTACTTTACTGAAATAAGCTTCAATATTTTAAATTCAGACCTGGTTGCACCATTTGTTGCTGATAAGACTGCATAACTGATGACTGTGTGGACATTTGCACTGATCGCTGTGCCATTTGTCCTTGCGATGGACCAATTATTTGCTGGTTCATACCTATCTGCTGCTGCTGCAAAAGCATTTTAGAAAATGCTATACTGTTAGTTGTATGAATCATTTAGAAAAGTCAATTAAATTGTCGTAAAAGAAAAACAATAGAAAAATCAAATAAAGAGTAGCAAGAGGTGAGTGTATGGCTTAAGCGGAACTTAAAATTTTAAGCAAAAAGATAAAATTGTCACAATGCCGATATAAGACCTTACGAGTGCATAATTTTGAAATACCCAATTCAAATTGTAATTTATTATGCAAACTAAGAGTTCATTACGGGCAGTGTATGTCTTCATTAGTGATAAAGAAAATCTTTACTTTGAAATTGAAAATTTCAAATCCGAAATTTGGATTTAAAAGGAAGGATATCCCCTAAAAGTTTCTGTTCAACTGGATGCATTTTATATTTGATTTCGACTACATTCCCAGGCTTCACAAATGGAAGTTATGATAAGAATTCACTTGATACATATTCGAAGCCTGGTTCATAACTTGATGCTGCTGCTGATGACCGTAAGATATCTGTTGCATGCCATTGTTTATGTGCTGTGATTGCATTATCTGTTGTTGACTGTGTTGCTCAAAGGACATTCCTCCTTTGTTGCTAATTGCTGGTCCCGAGCCAACCGGTGGATAATCTTGCGCACCACTTGTAGCAAACAATCCACTTGTAGGGGCATTCATCATTGACTCTATCTGAAAATGCTTTCTTTTTCAAATCCATGCTTATTCTTCATTCCAATTCCGACTTATTCTTAAAGACTAATAAATAAAAATTCGATCTTAATATAAAAAGAACTAGAAAAAAATAATAATAAAAAGAACTAGAAACCTGCTGTGTAGCTGGAATTTGAGGCCCTTGTTGCATGCGTATTTTCTTTGTTGCGGGTTCCATCACGGACTGCTGAGGATGCATGCCAATGGGCTGCAAAATAACACCAAATATCAAAACATTTGTTAACCATCATAAAGGAAGCCCTTAAAAAAATACAAATTGTAGTTCTATAGTTCTCTCATCTTCCTTTATTTCAGTTTCGAAATTTCAAAGAATTTCTCGCTCTCGTGTGCGAATTTATGCTATCTTAAATTTTGCAAAAAGTTATTTGACAAAATAAAACTTAGTAATTTAATGCTCAAGTTATTAGCCATAAATATATCTTTTAATCATATATTGGTGAACGATGGCATGGTTTACACAGATATCAGTTTTAGTGGAACTTCCTTATCAAAATTTTAATAATGTGGTTTTCTGTCTAGATAAATACATAAACATAATAAAGTAGAAAATGTGTGTTTCAAATTTGGTGTTTCAAATTATGCAATATGGTTCGCTAGCAATATTTCGTCGGAACTTTTTCATCTACAGGCTTACTTAACACTACTTTTGGTAACGCTCATATGGCTAATAACTGATATTAGAACAATAATAATATCGCTTCGTTGATTTTCCAACAGACTTTTTCCAACTGTTTAAAAATTTTTGCAAGTAAACCAAAAAACAAAACATAGGTAACTGACCTGCTGTTGACTTTGTTGCGGAGGTTGAACTTGCTGTGGTTTCGATGCTGAAGCACTCTTATCATCATTTTCATCCGAAAGAAACTCCCGCTTTGGATATGGGATATCGCAACCGCTGAAAACATCCGCAGTCGGACGAGGATCTTCCTAAAAAGGCATATTTTGAGTGTGACACATTCAAAATTATCTAAAAAGATATAAATTAAATTATAATTTCACTTAATCGACTTTGATTCCTGATAATCACTCTTAAAATCATAGGAGAAATGAAGCTTAATGAAAGCTACCTTGAAGTAAGGATCATCCATGGCATCTTGCGCAGTAACTCGTTTGATTGGGTCCATTGTAAGAAGGCGTTGTAATAATGAAAATGAGCGAGTATCAGCTTTAATTTTATGTTTATCCATATATCTTTGTAAGGTGCAATTCGCGTAACTAGAATTCACAAAATTCAAGTCAGACAGTTGAATTTAGCTCATTGATGTGGAAAAATGTGTTTTAAAAAGACTCTAAATATTTGCTTACTTCGCTCTTTTGAAATCCTGCGTCAATTTTTGGTATTCTGGCATTTTCTTTAAATCCTGCCAGTCATTTTCAGATGGATAACCCATAACAGTAAATATTCGATTTAGCTGGTCCTGATGATAAGGACTTGAAGCTTTGATATCTTCCTCTCGACAAAAAAATACGGGCTCAGAAGTGAGAAGTTCCGCAAAGATACAACCGATAGCCCAAATATCAATGGCCTGTAAATAATTTGATTGATGCCATCTTTATATATAAACAATATTTGCCTTAACATACGGTAAAAAAGTTTAAGAAATTTTGGAAAAAAAGAATGCTAAATGCAGGAAATATTTTGGCGACAATAAAAGTGCGAAAGACGCACCAATCAAGGAAAGGCGAGAAAAGTTCTGTCCTGAAGATCTAGAAATACAAAATCTATCGTAATGTGCTAAATTACTTGATGGTCTTTGTTAATGAAAAGAACAAACATACTTTTGTGTAATGTTTAGCACCAAGAAGCAGTTCCGGCGCTCTATACCAGAATGTCACCACCACTGGATCAAGCTCCGCTAATGGTTTCAACGGATTATGAAATATCCTTGCGAAACCCATATCACCAATTTTCACCCTAAAAGTTGTTCTATCTTCAGACCTTAAAAAAAAAAAGGAGAAATACAACATCGTATGAAAAGTCTTAAAATGTTCACTCGTATCGCAGATGCTTTCAGAAACACACCTCCCACGTTCCACACCAGGACCCTCGCCCATTACTAGGATATTCGCAGGTTTGAGATCCCTGTGCAAAATCCAGTTTGAATGTAAATAATGAATTCCATCCAATATTTGATACAGGAGACTCTTAACCATTCCCTGAAAAGGTTCAAAATTTCTAAGAAAAAGAAGGGAGCGATCTGAAAAGGGATTTTGTATTTTTGGGTTAGTCCCAGTTAATAATCAGTTCATCTTTTAAACTGACACAATCGAAGAGAAGAATTGAAGAGAAACGAGATAATAAGGGTCGAACGGATGTAAATAGCATCTAATTTATCAAGTATATCTTATAATTTACTTTGGGAACAAGCACTGGTTGCTTCTTCTGCTTTGCAGCTCGATGAAACTTGATGATATGCCATAAGTCGTGCTCGGCATAATCAAATAGTAACCACACCTTTCGATCCGTCGTTAGAAATACTCGTTGTAATTTGATTAAATTTGGATGTCTGAACAATATCATCATGCAAAACAGAGTCACTATCCAAATCAGGAAATGTGGTTCAACACTGAAAACTAACTTTAATTCTCTCAACAGTGCTATTTCTCGACAAGCCGACATCGAAAAACCTTGACCCTCAATTAGCTTTAAAGCGAACTCTTTCGCTCCGTTTCCTGGGATCTCCTCTGGATGCCGTGGTTGCGCCTTGTAGACGTGTCCATAAGTTCCTCTCCCGACCTACGAGAGGATTTTAATGAATAGATCTGGATAATATCGAAGTCGAAAGAAATATTGATGAAAAATTTTCTAACATATTCTATCAAAAATAGATAAGGAGACCAGGAAATAAATTTGGTTCATTACAAAATCTTAAAAACTATGTTCCTATCAGTTTGCAATCGATAATCTACTCATCCATTAATTAAATGCAATAAATTAGTAAAATCACCTTAAAGCCCTCAAAAGAGTAAAGATCTTCGACACGCTCCCGTGTTTTTATAAGTTCTTCCTTGAACTGATAATCGATCATATCAGCTTCCACGTTCCCACGTCCCACAAAATCACGGACTTCTTTAATAATGTCAAAAAGGTGAAATCCCATTAAGAATCAAGAAAGTGTCTAGAATTACAGTTCCCGCTCCCTGGGAATAGTCAGCTTAATTTCTACACCATGCAAATAAGTCCGACTTCGTACAACATTGCATGCATGATGTCATTTCTTTAGCTATGCTAATTTCACATTACTACACCAATTCAATAAATCCACTTACTTCCTCAAGTATGCATATATATATATATATATATATATATTAATCTCACTAATTCCACCAGATAAAAATACTATACAGTTCATTACACTGCATCAAACTACACTCTGCAATGAATTTTTACTAGACGTTTTTTTGCGGAAACGCTCAGCAAATAATTTTTGACCTTCCAATTGAACTGTTATTTTGCACATAACCATAAATTCATTTTAAATTTCAGCTAAAAGCTATGTAGAATTCCCACCATAACTTCGTCCTAAATTCTTTGATAAAATTGGGAAAAATTCTGTCAGATGGAATGAATATTTAAAAACTGAAGGGAAAAATCTTTAACGAAGGAACTTGAAGAAAGTAGTAACATAAATTTTTCCTTCAATTTTTTGGAAACAAACAGTTAAGAGCATTCTTTTATTGAATCTAATAAAAATACACGCAATTTCGAGTTACTTTTTTGAAATCTTATACAACGGTTCTAGTTCTTTATCAGCTTCTTCCTCTTCTGGTGCAGTCGTCTTTTCTTGAAAAATTGGAATTGGTTGATTTTTGAGGTATGCCTTCGTGACATAGTATGGGTTTTTCTCCGCCTATAAGTAATATACATTAACAAGAGGAAGATAAATTAAAAGAGCGAAATTCTCGATAGATAAACAGCGAACCTCTTCAGCATGACGTAAAATAGAAGCACGCACGTCAGTATCCGCAAGGAAATCACGATTCCTTTTTGTACCTACTTGTTTAGCGATATACGAATGCAGTGTTCCACCTGAAGCAGCTACTCGACCACCCGAACCTAAAAATAAAACCTAGCCGAAATGAAACTTCCCGACCAAGCTAACATAACTTATGGACAGCTTAATTTAAAAAAATTGAGAAAATGAAAAAGCCCATCAATTTAAAAATAATTCGACTAACTCGGCCCACTCATAGGCATGTCAGCAGGCTTTCGGAAGTCAGGACGTAACTTGTTGTCCATCATACGCAAATATTTCTTTAGTCGCCAAGTTGTAACTTCTTTCTCCTCACCTTCCTCACCTCTCGGTTGAAACATTTCCAAGGTTAGTGCTGAAAACTGTCATGGATCAGCCATTAATGTGCATTGATTAGCCATTTTAGAATGCAATAGATTCATAAAAATGAGGAAACCTACGTGAAAGCACTAATTCTTCGCGAATTACTTCCTGCTGACGAGCCCTTCTCAGTGGTCGCGAGACGCAAAGTAGGGCACCTCTCAAACTATTTATAGGATCATAATATAATCGTAATGATCCATCGCTTAAACCAACAAGAATTTGGTTGATTTTGGGCTGCCAAGAGATCTTAATACAACTCTGAAAATTAAGAGTTATAGATTTCGTAACAATGACTGACTTCATATAAAATCTCCGAAGTTATTTTTCCAGAAATGCATAATTTACATTAATGAAGAACCAACTAATTTTGGATACGTGATTTGATAAACAAGATCGAAGGATTTCGAATCAAAAAAAACGAGCATTCCGTCGGACCCGTTTTCATCATCAAAAGATGTACCAGTATAAACCATTTCACCGTGAGGAGCAAAACCACAGTCAGTGCTATAAAAAAAAAAGAAAACAACAAAAAAAAGTTTTATACAGCTGGACGATATCAGCATTGCAACTTCAATCTACTGTGGTGTATGAACATTATGCAAGCCAGTATGCGTTAGAATCTCTCACATATGACGATGCTGATATTGTTGATAACCTACTGAAATAATAAAGAATTTCTTTAAGGTTACCTTATAAATTCATTTTTCAAATTTTCCACAACATGACAAGGTTTATTAAATGTTTCAAGTTGCCATAATTTTAACGTGCCATCAACTGCAAAACGTTTCTTTATACTTAAGGAATTATAAGTATGTAAGTATAAAGGAATTGTAGGAAAAAACACCATCTAAGAAGTATTGCAAGAAATCGATAATCTACTAAAATAATAGTGAATTTTACGTGATCTTGAGAGGATTTGTCTACTGTTTGGTGAGAATTGCAGCGAAGTAAGCGGTGCAGTATGAGCAGTTCTATTCAAATAAGTGGTATTAACCTGCAAATGATAAAATGACTTTGTGACAATGAAAAAAAAATTAAATACTTCTTTTGATTCCTTTAAAGTCCTCTTTGTGAACCAAGCATTACATATTATGAATCAATGTACATATGTTTTGTTCAAACTTTTAACGCTGACATAAAGATTTCCATGTTTCCATATTTGTATAGAACCATCATCACATCCAGCCGCAATATATTTTCCATCTCGAGAGTAGCAGCATGTCGTCGGTATAGCTCTTTTGCCAGCAGCATTTTTTGTCTTGATTACTTTACGCTGCTTATTGATACAGTGTGTAATTTCTTTATAATCATCTATAGACCAAATCCTCAAAGTTCTGAAATCTCATATTTTAAAATCTCACAATCCAAATTGCAAACCCGCGCATTATACCTTCAACCTGTAAAAAATTTGACTAAAATAATTGAAAGTAATCAGAATAATTAAAGCCATAAATAAATGAAATAAGTGCGTAGTTAAATCTCGCTTGTTTAAGACTATAGACATGGCATAATTAATATTAAGCTAGAAAAGTGGAAAGGCATTTAATTTATATGCTTATGATGTTAAGTTAAAGATAATAATATGATATCTGCTTTAATTTTCTTTGACATTCGATAAGTAATTTGATATGATTTCTTTATACTAGTTTAGGAATACAACAACTATTATTAACTCAAAAAATTATTTTTTAAATATGCAAATAAGACAAGATTTCGAGTGCTTAATTTTTCGACCGCAAAAATTACATTGACAGTGATCTAGTAACCAATTCCGAAAAAGACTAATTTACTTAAATTTTGAATGATCAGAAGTATGAAGGCGAAGTATTGCTCAAAGTAATGTTCGCTCTTGATGGGAAAAAACTTACCCATCATTACCGCAAGATAAGAATTCTGTTTTCGCAATTGGGTGCCAACAGCAAGTATTGACAGATCCTGTGTGCCCTTTGGTATTGGATAAATCAACCAAATACTGATCACCTATAGAACATTTCACTATTGCGGCGAAACATATAATAAGTTTTCAAAACCAAAATTATTTCAATTATTCAAAACCACTATACGATTGCTTGTCCAACCTACCACGAACAGTTTCTGCCCATTGTTTACCCTGCCGATCTATAATACGAATTTGTGCATGACCGCTAGCAACTAGCAATTTTTCACCGTTTGAACTAAACGCTAATCCATTGATGATATGACTGAAAACAAGTCAAAACTGAGAAGAAACATATAGAATAAAATGTAGGGTGGATCAAAAGGCGCAAACTAAAATGAATTAAAAGAAATCATGGGAAAAGTAAACCAAGGTAATAAGTGAAAAATATACGGAGAGAAAAAATTTACCTTTCACAAGGCATTAGCTCACGTGAAGATCGCAAACTTAAATCCATTTTCTGAAATTCAAATAAATTCACAACGTAATCATATCCACCACTAGCAAATTTCGTACCTTGATGATCAAACGCCAGTGCCGATATCTAAAATTTCTTCCTGAATTAAATAAACAAGCAAAGATATCACACAGAACTGGTACTAAATAACCAGAAGACAAAATAGATCTACCGGTTTCTTCCCATGACGCAACTGTGCTTCCGAAGCAGCAGGTATTAAATCAACGACAGGAATCTGCAACGACAAAGTCACTTTTTAAACAACAAATATATCCAATACGAGACAAAGTACGAAAACAAAAATTTCAGAATAAGTAATTAAATTAGCAGAAAAGAACCGGAACATTTCTCTAATTGTTAAACATAAAAACAAATATACTTCGTACTTACTCTATCATCCAAATCATCGGATTCATCATCACCATCACCATCATCATCATCATCTTTGGGATTTTTTGTCTCGAACATTGCTTTATCTGGCACAAATCCTTCAGGTAAAGGAACCGAAAATTCTCCAAAACCATCATCATTTTCTGAATCTGAACTAGATAGCAAGTGAAAATTGTTCAAGCTGTTAGTTCAATATAATAATTTAAAATTCACTGTGCTACATGATCTTATGAATGCTCTCAAAGTTATAGATTTGCTTTACAAAGCTTTCCTTTTAATTAAAAATGGAAAGTACCTTCAACTGATGTTTTAGCTAGTTCTACTGACAATGAACATCCAACAGATTCGTCGAAAGCCTGAAAAAAATAACGTCACTAGGAATTCAAAAGTATTACTAATATATCCAAACAGTGGGAGGGTCGACTAGAGATGGAATAAAAAAGAAAGGTATTATTGAATAAAAAGAAAAGTGAAGAAACAATGTGCGCAAATTTTATCATAGAGTACATAGATTAGAATATTTCATAATAAGTTTACTGAACGATTACAGTGAAGTGGAGTTGAAGTAAACTGATGAAGCATGAAGTCTAACTGCTTAGAAATCATTGTATAGGGAAGGGATTTCCACCCTACGAAAATGTTTACGACTATAGGCAAAAAGTACACCTATCTACCCTTATGCTCGTCATCATCATATAACCGTCAATACAGTTTTGTCGGTGTAACTAACGATACGTGTTAAATTGAAGACCTTCAGTAAATTGTAACAATCAGACCAAAATTAAAGAAATATTTCTTAAGGAATAAAAATTTCAAGCTATCTAAAATGGAGTACTTCAAAACTAGAACACTTTCCAAAGTGTTTGTGCAATTCGATGAGCAAAACCTATGCAACGACTGTCATTTTCAAAATATGTTTTTCAACTCACGATATAGTAAATGTAAAAATAAATGAGTCGGTAGTAAGACAAAAAACAAACATGGTGAGGTTCTCTGCTGGATTCGAACTGTTCTCCACAAGAACATTTGTCATCGTCGGTCGTACCTTTGGCGCTTTCCTTATCAGACGTTGCAGTTGTTCGTGTGAGAGCGCCTTGCCTGGCTTCCATGAAGACCGTTTCGAAATTGAACTGTCGAGCTTTTTTCGCAGCATTTTTTTGTTGTCGACTTTCAGTTTCTTCATTGCTTTTCGTAGTTTTGTTACTGCTTTCTAAAAAAGAAAAAATACTGCTTGAGCACTTCAGCCTTGGTAGAGCCATTGAAAAGTATCATGAAAAGAAGCAAATAATTTCATAAAATATTGTGCAACTATGCATAACTCTTTCTATCTGCATAAAAAATCCACGGCTAAGTGAATATACAAAAAGACGGTAAAACTACCTTTTTCTTGCTTTTCCTCATATATTTTCTTGATATTACTCATGAAGATGCGAGCAGTAAGCCTGTAAAACACTAATACAGCCAAAAACTTGGATTCGAGATTTAATCAGAAGGTAAGCATTTCTTATAATTCGGATGTGCAGCTTGATGAGAGTTCCTGTAGATACGAACCTATAGATGTGAGACGGCTAAGTTTTTTCCCATCAAATGACAATATTGTATTTACTTTACGCCTAACAAAAGATCGGGAGGACTCACAATGAAGATTAGAAAATTAGTATAGTGGTGGAATACATGAGGGAATTGGAGGGAAAGGTGTTAATGGAGGGAACTATGAAAAGGAATGACTGAGAAAATCATAATACTTTTGAGCAATGAAAATAGAACAAATAGGGAACCCTTAGTTTCCTTATAAGAACGAGTACCCAGCTGCAGTTGAAATGATGCTTAGAAAGCATAAATTTTGATTGTAACAATAAGTTCAATACAGAAAACAACGTTAATACCAGAGCTTAGGGAAGAGTGTTTCAAAAGGACAAACACCTGTAGATTTTACTTCATCATTCGCATTCTTAATTGAGAATTAATTGGAGCGCCAACAAAACAGAAATAACTTCCTCCATACTCATGAAACCTCAAAAACAAACAAACTCCTTGTCGCAACTTGAGCATAACCCAGGCTACTGCTCTATCTGATAAAAGGTTTCTAAACCTCGGTGGATGCATTGACTGTAACTTGCGTATCTCTGTTCTCTTTTATCTTCCTCCTTATTTTGCCACTCTCTACCATCGGAGTGTTATTATTTTCAAAATTTCTCAATCTTAGTTCGCATTTTGTGTATTCTGTGCTTCTCCTTCTTCCATAGAGCTTTCTATTAATACTCGAGATTGCCACTCTAAACACATTTAATTTATTTCTTCTCCAGTCCCCTTCTTCTCTACTCCATGTCACATGGTCACATACTTTCTCTCATACGTAATCTCACAAGATCTATCGTGAAATATGAGATGCAAATATCGTATGTAAGTAACTTGTTATCGAGTAAACAATTGCTGTAGTATTTTCAGGAATTTCAATGCCTACTCAGGAAGCTGATTTGGTTGCGCATTTGTTGGCGGATAATCGTAAACTTCGGCAGCTTTATCTGACTGAACAGCGGAAAGCATTGACGGAACGGAAACGACGGATTGCTGCAGAGGCAAGACTTGCTGCCCTTCTTAGTAAAGAAGTTATCGAAAAAGGGGAGCGAAATTCGTACGTATCATATTTATTTCACATTAAGAACACATGATAACCTTGCGTGTAGCTAACTCTATTCGAACGAATTGAAAAAATCCAAGAAGAATCCAAAACCAAGTAAGATAACGCAAGTGTTGATCCTTCATCGATTTTTTGGTAGCCGTTGGCTTCATCCTGGTGTGGACATATCCAGATATATTCATGTTAATATTTCTGCTTTGTTTCAACTTACCGTTCAAAAATGTTAGTTTTTATTATTTAAATAATTCTTCTCATTGTCGGACTTGTTCATATCAAACCACGTCATTATAATCGCATTTAGATTACACTGCTCACGTCTGGACCATGATTTCTCTGTTGTCGACAAAACACACAAAGTATGTCTCTTGGATATTCAAAAAAAGGAAAAAGCAGCATAGGGTGTCTTGCTTCTGTAGATTCTGACTACTCTTTCATTGCTTTGAACGAGATATTTGTTGAAGTTTGAATTGGTAATTATTTTCCAGAATACTTAACGACAATAATTTTTCAGGGTTTGTTGGAAAACAGCGGAAATCTTAATTTTATCGATTCTTCGCGTGAAGGCCATACTGCCTTGTTAGTTATGAATAAAACCAGAAAATACCAAGAAAAAAACATTTCTACTTCCGAAAATCTTATCGGGTGTATGGCCAGCTCAGTTCGTAGTGTGCAAAATGTAAATACTGCTGGAAATGATGGCAAAGCCAATTTATCGCATGTCAGTCCTTTAGGGGCCTTTCATTTTAGGCAATTCTAAGCTTTTTACCATCTAGCCAACTGGCAGGGACATTCTTTGTCCTTTTAGATTTTTTTATAATTGATTCAATTTTTCCCCATTTCTGGTTAAATTTTTATTTTTGTTCGTGATGTTTAATGCTTTACAAATTTCAATAGATCACATGTCAACTTCAGTTAGGCAAGATAAGCAAAAAAGCTGAAACTTGAGCAGGCTGGACTCAGCAGTCTCTAGTCATCTAAGCTGCTCTTTTTTTATCGGAACTTTTTCACTTTCTTTGCAGTCCTTGTTGTCTGATGAGCAGTCTTCTGATCCAATAAGCAATAAAACAAACAATGCAGAATTATCTTTCACTATTAGATTACCACAAAGCAATTTTGAGATACCAGGATCGACAGAACTTAGTAGATTTTGGTTATTTATTGACAGAAATGGAGAGACGAAATCATCGGTACCTCCACCACTTAATGTAAGTTAATTTTAAAGGAACATTTAGAATCAGGACAGAGGTCATTTAACCCTTCAACATGTTATCTTTATCAAAAAAGTTAACCTGCAATGCAACATGAGGTCTAGTGTCAGCAATTTAAGAAATCGAATGGAATAATTTTTTGACTATTTTTTTTACTACTCTGCAAGTTTTAAATGAAAATTCTCCTAATCATATATTTTTAGCAGATACAACAAAAACAAAAGGAAGCATTCATAAGACGAAGTACCGAACGTCAAATTCTTATTCAAGAAGCATCAATGTGCCGTAAAGAACTTGCAGCTGCAAAACGTAAAGTTGCAAAACAATTACTTGCTGGACATACAGTAAATCGAAATGCTGTCCAAGTGCTTAAATTAATGGATCGGGAAATTCGCGCATTCCCGCCGCAGGTGATGGAGCACGAAACCATCAGGTCAAGATTTTTTTTTTTTAAAACAAAATACATACGCTTCTGTTATACTGCAACTTCTTGAAATATTTTACAGACGCATTTGTAAAACCAGAGAATTTCAAGAGAAAAAAAGCGACGGCGCGAAGAGTATAACGCGCATATCAATCGTCTGCTAGCATATTGTTATAGCCAGGTAATCCTATGCCTAAAAATTCAGTAATTCTTTGTAATTTGGAATTATCTGTGATTTTTCCAATTGAAAAACATTGCTCTTTCTCATCAGACAGATTGTTTTTTTTTCCAGGTGCCTTATAGGTTTCACCGAAAGTACTAATATCGAAAATTCATGAAGACAAATATAGATTAGAATTGTTCCGCTTTAACGATTTTTCTTTAACTTCGGACTTTTTTATATTGAAGTCGGCTTCTCACATAATTTCACTCCATCGTTTTGTGATTGCTCCTTAGGCAGTTTGAGGTTCTGTTTTCCTCTAGTTTGTATATTGTTAAGTGGAGCTCAATTGTAACTTCTCTCAATTTGCTGGAGACTTTCACGCATTGATATTGAACTCATTTTGAGTAATGGTCGTATTCTGGAATTTTCATTTGTTGCTGTATAAGCCTCGGTATGTAATCTTACTAACTTTGTATATTTTGATTTAATCAATTTTGAATGCTTGTGTATGGGTGGAAAATAAATACATTGTGCCGCATAAAGTGGGTCTCTGAGCAGAATTAACTTATAAAATTTATTAAGAAGCGATAACTGTTTATAATTAGGAATGATTAATCACAAGATGAGATGAGTGAATGGATTACATTATACAATCCAGTGCCAATGGGTAACTTTACTCTGGAGTTGTCTGCATTAGTACTGTGCTTCCCACTGATATTACTTGAGTGCTGAGTGTTTTACTATGATTACAGCGGAGAAATCAAGGGAGGAAATTTAATTTTCAGTTGGTGTTTGGAACAATTTGAAGTCTGCATACTTTATTATCGTCCATTCCTCATCAATCCATCATCACTCTGAACGTTATTTACAAAACGTTATTTACATCCTCGATTATCCATGATTGATAATTTTAAAATTTTGTTACTGTATATACAGTAACAAATTACTGTTGCAATATGCAGCAGTAATGCTTCAGGTGGTGCTTTCGAATCCTTCATATCATTACTGCAATATGATTCAGGAACACAACCAAGCATTTGTCGCATTTTAACTTTAGCTGCATGCAAACTTTCTATGTGCCTCACGTACTCATCCATCCATCCTCTTTAGTATGACACCTTATTCTCTATTACTCAGAAATCTTAATTTTTGTGGAACTGTTTTTTGTCTTAGAAAAACAGTAGAACTAGCTTCGTTTTATCCATTTCAATTGTCGGATAGACCGCTCCTCTTCTCTATCTAATATTTACTTTGTTATTGATGGACAAAGTGCAGAGATTAAAAAGGGACACATTTCAGGCATTGATCATGAAATGAGTAGTCGCGATGCACAACGATGGACTAATAGTCATTAGAAAGTTAGAAGTTTTTTGCCAAACACAGAATTCAATTTACCATTTCTAGGAAGGATTTGTGTTGAACTCTGTACCATTGACAAGAAGAGTGTTGTCTTCAGATAGTTTTTTAATAATTTTTATTAGCTAGCGACTGAAAAGAAACAATTGGTTGAATCATTTATGCTGTACAGCTGAGCTAAGCAAGTAATGGCGGTTTTTCTCGTTTCTAGATATGAAATAGATTCACGACAACAATAGATAGCTTTTATTCGGGAATAAAACATTACTTAGCCTCCTCCTCATCAGGACCATTTATTCTCTTCATGTATGTGCACACTATTTCTATGCATTGTGTGTGTGTATGTGCGTGTGTGTGTGTGTGTGTGTGTGTGTGTGTGTATGCGCATGTGTGTGTGTGTGTGTGTGTGTGTGTGTGTGTG